TATTATCTATCTATCTATCTATCTATCTATATATATATATATATATATATATATATATATATATATATATATATCCATCTATCTATCTATCCATCTATCTATGTAATAAAACTGTATTTATGTCCAATTTGTAAAATGTAAACATGTTTCCCATATAAGCACACCCCTAACTCGCTGAGCTTGCTCACATTGCTTGAAAGCAGACTCTAGTAAGTAGATAGAATCTGGATGAGTTGCCTGCCACTATAGGTGATGAAGTCACCAGGTATGCTGATGCTGAGATGTATAGGACAATTAAAACAAATAGGCCCATAAATGTTATCTGCCTTGTATTTTTGTTCACAATTCTTTCTGAGATGCAAAGTAAAGATTTATTAGAAGGACCAGTTGTGTGTTATCATACAGCCAATCTAAAAATAATAATCAGGGTGCTTGGTGCCAAGTCCACTCTTCTCATCAAAGCACTGGGTATATAGACTGATTCGCTCAACATTAAAACACACTGACAGGTGAAGTAATGATTATATCATTACTGTGACAGCAGTCGCCACCACAAGGCGCTTCAGACAGACTATTTATGCAGGTCTCTGAACTGTCCTTATGCTTTAGTCACCCTGTTCCCATTATAGGTGCAGGGTGTGTGTAAAATAATTAGTGTTTAGTGTTAAATGTTTTGTCTGCTCTCCCGTCCTGCTGGTGATTGCTACCAACTAGGTGGATTTGGATATGTAGCCTCTATAGCATCCTGTGTTGGTAGGAACAGTAATGTGTACCACCTGAATAGCAAGCCTTCATTTGCATATTCGGGTAGATTTGCATATTACTAATTCTGCAGGCTGGAAAGATAGTTTGTGATAAATATTGTCTATCCCACCGCTTAAGAAATATGTTCTTACTTTATTATAATCCCCTGTATGTTTTCTGACATGTTTTGGTTATTTGTATTTTATTGGGTTTCTCACAGCAAGGTTAATGTAACGAACATATGGGCTAGTCTCAAGTAAAATAAAGTATTGTATGCTAGTTCCATTTGGAACGGAGTGTCCTGTGTGGATTTTTAGGGATCACAGAGTTGCCATATCTGTTGGCTGGCTGCATGACCCTTCTAGCCCTGAGATGAATCAAGAGAGCTAGGCCCAAGAGCCGCCAGTGCCTTTATAAAGCCAATAACAACCACTATAAGCAGAGCCACCTGGAAGAAGGGCTGCAGTGGAATAGGCAGAAGAGAAGAGATTATACCTACTTGGAAGGAGAGCTGCAGCCTGGTCGGGTGGAAAAGCTCCACAGAGACCCAGTCAAGCCTCGGTGACTGGGGTTGAAGTGCTCCAGGCTCCTTTCCCAACAACTAGGAAGCAGAGGTACTCCATCACAATTACAAAGGCAGCTGTCAAGGATTGGGATATATTAAGCAGCAAGTGAACAGTTAGTTATTGAATTTTTGGAAGCAAGAAAAATGGGCAAGGGAAAAGATCTGAGTTACTTTGACAAGGGCCAAATAGTGATGTCTAGATGACTGGTTCAGTGTATATATAAATTATTTTCTCACCAGTCCTGGGTGGTATATTTATTCCTCATTCTCAGGTCCTCTACCAGACACCTTGAGTCTGAGGATTCTGCACAGGTCCTGTTCTTAGAACTGCATTCTTCTGGACATTGATCTCAGATATCCCATCTGGAATCTGTTGAAGCCACTACCCCATTTTCGGAGTCACATCCCAGAGTGCTCCTATCACAACCAGGACTACTAGCCTTCAATTTCCACATCCTTTCTAGCTCTTTTTTTAGTTTTTGGTATTTGTCCATCATCTCATGCTCCTTCTCCCTGATGTTATAGTCACTTGGAATTGCCACATTCACCATAGGTGCAGTCTTCCCTTCCTTGTTAACCACCACGATTTCAGGTTGGTTGGTCAATACTTACTTGTCTGTCTGGATCTTGAAGTCCCAAAGTAGTGTCTCCCATCTGGACTTATGCAGGTCAAGCCCATATTCCGAGAAAATGTTTTGGTACACAACCAAGTTGCTGGGATTGTAATTGAAATCTACCTCTAACTAGTTCGTTGCATGTCCTGTCAGTGCTGCACGGTTGCCTTTTCAAAGAGACAAAAAATATATAAGTAAAATGGACAGTGTTTTGTTTGACATTTTTATTTAAAACTGGATAAAAAACTTTTGCAATCACAGACTTTCTAATTTGCAATCAGAAACATGTGCAATAACTCGTGTGCAGATCTCTAAATTAACCAAATGAGAATCACAGGGTTAAGAAATATTATGCTGCTTAATGTATTACAAGACACAATGGTTCTTTAAAAAATAATATATACACTCTTCCCCAGGTGATATATCACAAAAATGAAAATAATTCATCATGAATGGAATACATTGGATTAATAATGCATGGGATGCTAAGCTTTATTATCTTAGTTCCATTAGAATGCACAGAATTGCTCTAAAATGCATTAATCCTATGTATCATACATTCTGATAATTTAATATTTATATTATACATTTGAATATAACAAGGCCCCATACATTTATAATAAAATGCAACAAAAGTAACATCTGACCTGGAGCAAAACTGTACTTTAATGTAGGCTTCAAAATAGTTTAATACTAATTTCTTGGGAAAACAAAACAATAGATCTATCAGTGTGTGCACAAGAATCAGTATTTTTTGTTATATCTTGACGTTTATTCATTACAATCCTTATATGGAATTTGTCTAATTGTGATAATACCTGAACAATGCTTTTGGTTTATGAATTTGACATGCACTTTATGTTTAGTCAATGTTCATCATACGTCTGTGCATTATATTAAACTCACATATTACATTGTGAAAATGAAGCTAATAATATACAATACAATGTACTTTATTTTAAAACACAACACAGTGACAAGTTAAAGTTAGGCACAAGTCATTTCCCTCATCTGTGTCTGCTGAACATCAGCCAAGGACTAAAACGATTTGAGATTGTATTGCCATAGATCCAACTTTCTAATTCTTACATTTCTCTATTGGTGCCAAGGTTATATTTTATAGAGCAGAATGAAAACTTTTATTAGGCATCAGTCAATTGCTTCTAGAGGCAGAAACCCTATGCAAGCATGCTGCATTAACAGAACAATTCATTGGAGACAGAATTAAAGTTCTTGACTGGTCCTAAACATTTGAGTTTTGATCTCTAGTTAAAGGAAAGTCATTTAGTTCTAGACTGATACTTGAAGCAGGGTTATACTTGCTATATCCACAATGAGTCAGTTCTGATAAAATAGTTACTTATTCTGACATTTAAAAAAGTAAACAGTGACTAGGGCAATATGGTGTTAAGAATACATATTTGTATTGCTAACTCTACAGTACTCATTTAACTAGATAGAGGTCCATGGCAGTAATAAAGCCATACTCAACGTATTGATGAATAAATCAAAAGAGAAGTGTCGAAGAAGGAGAAAAAAAAGGTTATATATTCTTACAGATTTTGTGAAGTAAAAGATGCATTTTGAAATGTAGAACAAAGACACCATCTTTCTGGTGGATTATAAGGTAATGCATAGAAGTGTAGGACTCACAGGATTCTTCCATAACCCCATGTATAACAATTTTACTCAGCAGTGAAGACACTTGAAGTCAATTGAGTTCACAGGACAACTGTCACAAAAATAAAGTTGGATGATCCAGGTGTTATGCAAAAGGAGAAAGTAAAAATGGTAGAGCAAATTTGAAATAATGAAAAGGAGATACTGGCAAATCAAAGAGTAGGGATGTGCATGGGGAAAAAATTTGGTTCTGCATTCCGAAATTCTTTACTTTGGCACTTCGGAACTTCGGCACTTCGGTTCGGCACTTTGACACTTCGACACTTTGGTACTTCGACACTTCGGAACTTTGGCAACTTCGGAACTTCGGACCTTCGGCACTTCAGAATTTCGGAACTTCGGACCTTCGGAATTTCGGACTTCAAATGTTCTATTGCAGCCGCTTAGTAGATAACTCCCTAATTCCCACGGTATTAGGGGGCTATCTACCAAAAGGCTGAAATACCTAAATTGGTCTTTCAGCCAAATCTACTAATACTAAGTAAAAATGACTTAGTGTTAGTACATTCTGCCCCTACCCGCTATACCGCGAGTAGGGGCATGTCTATTAAACAGTGAGCATCCTGTGGCTGTTTACTGCTTAAAAAAACCTCCAAAAAATGGGGCCCTATAAAGCCTTGCCCTGCCCTGCAATTAGGATTAGAACACTCTGATTGGTTAATTTAACTTTCCCACGCTGTGTAAAATAACACAGAGCACTCTGATTGGCTGGATTTCAAGCTATCCAATCAGAGTGCTCTGTGTCATTTTACACAGCGTGGGAAAGTTAAATTAACCAATCAGAGTGTTCTTCTCCTAATTGCAGGGCGGGGCAAGGCTTTATAGGGCCCCATTTTTTGGAGAATTTTCCCACACTGTGTAAAATGACTCATAACACTCTGATTGGATAGCTTGAAATACAGTCAATCAGAGTGCTCTGTGAAACTACATAAGTCAAACTTTTTCTGCATACATTTATATTTCTATCTCACTGTTCCCTTAAAATTAGCTGTATGGAGGGGACGGGACCGGTCCGCCGAGCTGGACGGTCGCAAGTACGAGTAGCTCCTGCCAGCTAACACTTTCTAAAACTTTAAAAGCATGGTTTTCAATGAGTTTCCAGACCGACAGCACGGGCATCCAGCACCAAGGGGATACTGGATCCAGGGTGAGGCTGACTCTTCGAGTTCCAGTCCCCTGGAGGGGAAATCTTCTCCGGTGGTGAGAGGGGTGGACGGCCGCTGCCTTGCTATCCAGCCTAGCAGCACCCGGCCAGAGGCCTAAATCGGTGGAGACCTGGCCCTGTCGTCCCACCCCCGTGGACCGGCGGGGGTGATCCCGGTCCCAACTTTGAGGCACACCATCCGAGGCCCAGCAGGGTTACCATCGTGATCTGTGGCCTAAGCCCCTCACTTAAGATGGCGGACGCCATGCGAGCAGAAGGCACTAAGAGAGCTGGCAACAACGCAGCGCTTGCCAAACACAGCGCCCACAGGCACAAGCCAGCCTGCTACCCGCAACAGCCAGAGATCAGCTCCCATCAAGGAGTCTTTTTACGACATCTGCCTTTAGGGACGCAATACTATACTTCGGCTCCAGCTCCAGGGCAAGCCCAAAAATGGCGGAGGAGATGGGGGCACAGCAAAACAGTACCCGCAGCAAAATGGACACTCAAGACAAAAAGGCAGGAAAACTTACCCCTCAGATATGCAGGTGTACCAGCCTCCCACATGAAGAGCCGCACCACACCCCGGGAGGGCCGCACATCTCCATACAGCCAACACAAACGACGATGCCTGTCACAACACCAGCCGGTCCGTAGTAGGGCCTCGCAAAGCCCTCTGAAGGCGGCAGCACAGCGGAGACCCGAGAAGCCACACCGCTCCCCTACCACACCACCAGTGACATATTCAGAAGTGACGGACTATTCTTTTAAACATTAATGTGGCTCGGGACGAAGAGTACCTGAGCATCCATGGGACATTAGTTGCTGGACGGTACACACATGGCTGCGGAGCACCTAGCCAGGGCATTGGTTGACTCTCCAACTGTGGGAGCTGGCAGTCAATTAAGATAACTCTGACAGGAACTTTAACCTGAGATGTAATAGACCCAGCGGTACACAAGAGATGATGTTTTCATTAGCTGGTTTAACTTTGCTTTCACAATATTATGTATAGATAAACTTGTATTACCTCATTTAGTCCAACACTCATATTAAGCTGCCTAGGATATGTATTGGTACAACATAGCACCACTCACTAAGCATAACCCATACCCTAGTCTCTCCCGCCACCGCTCTGCATGGTGGCTTTAACATCACTTTGGCCACCGTAATAATACTAGTGGGCAAGACCTCAAGGCACAGTAGAGCCGCCACGCTGACCTAAGCCCCAATGTGTTTTTTCTTTTTCATTAACAAATAACAAAAATGACAAATCTCATCTCAATGCACACCTTATGATTGCACTGTTGCCTCCTATACACTGGCGCAAACACTGATATAGAGCAAATTGTGAAGAAGAGAGAACCATTATAATGGGTGGCAATCTACAGAGCAATGACCCTACCTGCAATAAAATAAGTCTAAACCTGCTTAAGTATAAATGTTAAAAAACTGGATTCGAAACGATGACCTTTATCCTTTACTATTAACACAGACAGTAAGAAAAGCTTGTGTTCTATGACTTTTGTCTCCCCACTATCTCTTCATCCTATCACTATACACCAAAAATTGTGCTGTATATTAGTAAGCCATATCATGACCATAATGCTTGTACTTATTCTGATTGCGACTGCTATTGCGGCAGAGCAAATCTACTGTTATTCCATGCACAACAAAAAATAAAGAATAAAAAAAAAAATTAGCTGTATGACACCTCTGTATTGGAAGAGATCTCACATGAATAGAGGAACTAGATAAGTGAGTATCTTTACCTATTTTTAAAGCTATATATGTATTAAAACCAGAAGTTAGCAGCCTGGGGTGTCTTTTTAACAGTGCATTCAGGTTATTTTGAATGAGAGTTGCCCTTTAAATAAATTAAGTTGCAGTTTAAAAATAACCAAAGTATATTTAGTTTCACACATTTAGAAGCAACAGTAGATCATTTATTTCAGCTCTGTAACCAAATTAGAACATTTAATTTTAAGGAAAGATTAAAAAACAAATTTAACACATGTAGGCTCTATTTTTCCCTTAATAGCCTTCTCAAGCTCTGATTAAATCTCAGTCACTTAATAATATTAATGGTCTAATTTAGCCTTTATTTAATCAGAAGAAAGTCAACCTTAGGGACAGGATCAGAAGGGAACATCAGAAAACTGATAGCATTGTTTCACATTTTCCCTCATATATCTTTATGATTAGTGTAATGCAAATTGACTGTGCTGAATGATCTTTACTGTTACTTTATATTTTTAATATTTTTCTGGTCTAATGCTTTATACAGTATGCAAATGAATGAGTATGCACAAAATCTTAAATGTGAGTGCATGGATTTTATTTACAAGTGGTATGGGCAAATATTATACAACAAAGAGAGATGTAACTCTCCACGGCACACATTTGCAGTGCTTATTCCATTTTGCTCTGTGGATTGTGACTGTTTTACTTGTCTGGAGTACAAATGAGAATGCATCTACAGGCTTATCAGAGATAATTTGGATACATTTGTGAACTATAGTTTGCAAATATTTGTACAATTATTATAAAATCGCACTGCCAATTGCATTTTAAATTTCCCTGCTGAATTTGCCATGAGTAGTTATTTTAGAAACAAATTACATTGTTTAGGTAAAGACTAATTTCTAATTACAAATATAAGTAGAACCTTAAACATTCGTGTCCGGCTGTTCGTGTGATGCCTTCACTAACAAACATTTACTTTTGTCACACTGTTGCAGGCGGATATTGTCCAATGATAATTGCAATGCATAGCTTGAAGGCTCCTTTGCGCCACTGAAAGCAAGGCACGCTTTATTAAATTATGTTATTAGTCTTTGTATTGTATTGAATTTATTTTCTTGTTAATGTTTATTTATTTGTAAACATGTGTTAGTCAGTATAAATAAATACTATATACTGATTTACCAGTGATTTGATTTCTGATGCTCACAGAATAATAAATACAAAATTGAAGGTAGTAAGATATCTAAACTAAGACGGATTATAATGGCACTTTATTTCTTTAAACCATTATTTTGTACTCATTAATTTGAAATGAATCACTTCTTTAATCTAAATTTGATTGGTTAGAGCCTCTAGATTTGCAGGTGGCCGGGGGGAATCTACACTCCACTTTCAAAATTAGAAAATTGATATTGTGTCTATCTTTTCTATGTATAAAAGAGAAGCTCTAGCAGATAGGTAGCCATCATGAGTATAACAAATGTCTGTCTGTCTTTCTTTCTATCAATCACTTAGCTTGCTCATCAAATCATTCAATGTTTGCCTTTGGAAAGATGCCCAGCAATTTCTTAAGGGGTTATTTCAAGAACCATGACCACTTCAGTGTTTTTAAGTGATTAGGGGGAAAGGACCTTTTATGCATGTGCAGCATTTTACTATAAATCACTATGTACTAAGATATATGATGTTGCTGATGGAGTTGTAACTTCACCTCTGGCAGCTTTCTTCAGCCAGTTTAGAATGAGAATTGTGTGCAGTCTAATATTAATTTTGTGCATATCCCATGCACCCGTACTGGGAGCACTGACCTGACACTATCAGCTAGTAAATGAATGGCAGTATCAGCATCCAGATTTTGCAGCTTGGCTTAGCTTCAGCACCAAGTCACCATGATTCAGACAGGCAAAACTTAGCTACGTGGCAGGCCATTGTAAAATAGTTTGCCCTCCTAGCAGGAGTTAGTTCAATTGTATTGCTAACCTTAAAAAACAAACAAACAAACAAAAAAAAATAACAGTGTAGCGCTTACTTTGAATGGAATTGGTAAATATAACAGCGTACCTTCAAGTATCTTTTCATATATATATAGACCTCAATTTGGAAAGAGTTAGGTACCTTTAAACAAAAATGAAAATACCAATAAAAGTGTTTAACTGTGTGGATAAATATTGTGAAGAAGCGTAAGACAATTGCACACTCACACTTCTAAGAGCTATAAACACTTAGCTCAAGTGGGAACAGCTTGGGGGTCCGTGGAGGTGACCCTTGACTTCTTTCATCAGAGCAGGAAAGGGATCTTCAGCCCAGGAGGCCCCTTACACTGCTTATCTGTGTCTCTTGCAGCTGCAAGCATCATCTCTTTGCTTGTCGATAACACACATACCTGCTTCCCTCCGCCTGTTTGAGTCGACCTCTGCATTGATTGCCAAGGACATGCATGATCCCTTTCCTGCTCTGATTGAAGAGGGGAAGAGCGCCTCCATGGGCGCCTGATTATACCCAGATCTACCCTTCCTCCTGGATCTTTCTCCTAACCTCCTGGAACATGTCACCAACTGCCTTTCTGCTATTTCTAACTGGATGTCTTCTAGTTTTCCAAAACTTAATCTTTTCAAAATGTAACTTCTTATCTTGCCATATCATGTAACTTCCATTTTCTAAACATTGAAAGTATTCTCCTGTATGCAACACAAGATGCTATTAAGGCACTTGTTTATGCACTCATCATTTCACACCTTGACTATTGAAACTTGCTCTTCATTGGCTTTCCCTATAACCATATAGCCCCATTCTATTTTGCTATGAATGCTGTTGCCAGGCCTATCTACATCAACCACCTCCTCTTACACCTCAAATTCAAATCTCTTAAGAAATCACAAAAAATGTACCTCTTTAGGAAGGCTTGCCATCTTCCAAGGGAATGTCTCGCATCATAGCTGTCCTCCCATCTCCCACACATAATCAATGCCTTCATGATTCACTCAATTCTTTTTTCACCTTTCATTCTACATTGATTTCATTCACTACTTTCATATGATTAACAAAACGCAGACATCATATTCATGATTCTCTCCATTCCTCTGACACATTTGTTCATCCTCTTGTGCTCTTCTTTGCATTGCTCTTAGATTGTGAGCTCATTTTAAGTAGTGCTCTCTTCTTTGCATTGCTCTTAGATTGTGAGCTCATTTTAAGTAGTGCTCTCTTCACTCTTGTGTTTCTCAACACTACCTTGTATGCCAATACTTGTTTTTTTATATCCCCACTGTATTATTGTTAAGCACTGTGGAATATGTTGGCACTATGTAATATGCTAATAATAATAATAATAAACTATTAGTTGGACAAAATGTGCTATCCAGGCTACAAACAAATAATACAGCAAATGCAAAGACAGATGAGCACTATGCACAAATGAACCTTCGGTAAATGTAGACACTGTGGGTATTAACATCTACATTTCAAAGTAATGGAACACCACTACAGGGAAGGGAACACCACTTAAAATGCGCAGGAACCTGAATGCAGTTGTTCCATTGCACCAATGCCTCAAAGTATGTTGGCAAATTTGTTGGCAAAGTACAAGAAGTTGGATCTAACTCTGTGAGTAATCCTGAGAACTGGGCAAGGTCTGAATCACCTGTTGTGTCTCTGCTTGCTGTTCAAACGTCACCCAGAGCTTGAATATGGAATCATATATCGAGTCTACTACCTAAACCACATGTGAAACATGAGAAATTATCCTTATCTGGCAAGCCCGGACCCCAACATTCTTTCCTTGCATTAGTAGTATTTTATCACCCTAAATAAACATAAGTATAATATTTAACAAATATAATATTTGTTTGTTAAAATGCTTCCATTATGGTATATATGGAAGCACGGGGTTTACAGTATCCCTTAGAAAATAGGAGCCTAAATTTTCTATTTTTATTTTTTATATAAACAACATTTTTAGATTTGGAAAAAAAAGGTTGCCAACATGCTAGCACAAGCAACAATTGTTGTAGCAGGCCATTCACTATTAATATG